CATTTCTTTCTTTCTTTCGCCTCCTTTCCATTTCTTTCTTTCGCCTCGATTTCATTTCTTTCTTTCTTTCGCCTCGTTTCCATTTCTTTCTTTCGCCTCGATTTCATTTCTTTCTTTCTTTCGCCTCCTTTCCATTTCTTTCTCTCTTTCGCCTTGTTTTCATTTCTTTCTTTCATTTGATTACCGATTATTTAGTTGGTCGCGTATTTGGCGGACGCTATGAAAACAACAGGAAAAAATAACAATACCCGTTACTTGAAAGCTGAAAAAAAGAATAATGAAAAAAAAAAAATGCAGGCAACAATAACGAACATAATAATTGTAATGAAATAGCTACAATAATTGCGAAATAAAGAATAATAAAAAGAGGAAAAATTATTATTATTATTATTATTATTATTATTATTATTTTATATCATTTGGAAAAAAATCGCTCTTATCTTACATAGATAAAGACGTTCGTAAGTAGTGGGCTGTTCTTGTGAATACAATTTTTTGTATTTCTTCAAGTCATGGGCTACCAGGGATTCCTTCAATGAGTCTATTGGAATCTTTTTCAATCAATCTGAGGGTTCCAACTACAACAGGGATTGTTGATGTTCCCATGTGCTACGTTGTTGAGATTTCGATTTAAAGGTCCTTGTATTTTGATAGTTTTTCTTTTAAAGATCTTCAAAGACACATTCCAGTCTTCAGGGAGTGTCATATCAATAAGGGGTCAACTTTTGTCTTTGCGGTCTGTAATCCCAATGTCAGAGCTATTAGCTTTGATTGTTCTGTCTGTCTGAAGTGTAAAATCCCATAAAATTATTACAGGTCCTATCACTGTAAACGGGTCTGGGTGGTATTCATAACAATTTCTTTCAGTTTCCTTTCCGTAAACGTTGCAAATTTTCCACTGCAGATATTGGCCCACTCTGTCGTGCCGTGTTTTATATTCATTATTATTATTATTATTATTATTATTATTATTACAAAAATCAGTCATTCGGTTTTTGTTCTGTTCATTACAGAACAACGTTTTAGCTCGTCCTGAACAAATTGTTCTGAGAGAACAGAAGGCAGGCTTTAGTGTCTCTTTTTATCTTCCCTCCACCTGCAGCCATTTTTATTTTTGCTTCTGTGGAAGTTCCCTTTTCAGTGATCTGATATTTACGATTCCTTCTGCATGCCATCCTTCTCTTCTATTCCCATTTTCCCATGCCTAACTTCTTGGATTTTAACCAACTCTTTTCATCAATTTTATATGCCACGCCTTTCAAGTATTGATAGAGATTTCTTTACTAATTTTTTTGTTCAAAGTATTGTGGACTGCCAACATTTTGATTATGACTTTATTCACACTCCACGTTAAATATGCAACACTTTTTCATTGAGGAGGATGTTGATAGTCCTCAAGTGATGTTGTTTTAATTATTTGGTACGGTTCTTTGTTTGGGATTCTGTAGCGCGAATCCACGAGTTTAGAAGAAGCATGGTCCTCGCTAAAACCTACCGTCATCATTCGCTTTAGCCTTTGATTTGAGAAATCAATGGCATACAAATGACAGTTTAGATATTTCTGAACGAGTTGGGCCTCAAGAATGACATCCATTTGAAATACATCGATTTGAAGAGTTATTTATAAATATAACTCATGTTTTTAGGTATGTGTTTTAGTTTTGCGATGTCTGTTTTCGTTGTTGCTGCTGTTGATAGTCCTCAACTGATGTGGTTTCTAATTTTTGGTACGGTTCTTTGTGATTCTGTAGCGCCAGTCCACGAGGTTCGAAGAAGAGTTGGGCCACAAGCATGACATCAATTTGAAATATCTCGATCTGAAGAGTTATTTAAAAATATAACTCATGCTGCCTCTCTGATGGCTATAATCTCCAAATATTCAAATGTAATGTCAATCGACATCTTCTGATGCCTTGATCCTGATCACCGTCCTTCTCTATATCCTTTCCTCAACCCCCCTTTACTCTTGCACTCACTCTCTGTAACCCTTTGCGTACTAGTGGCACTCCCGCCTTGCCTGGGGTGAAATGCTTAAACAAAACTGAGTTCTTCTCGCAGTGTTGTTAAAATAATAATAATAATAATAATAATAATAATAATAATAATATGAACACTACTTAGACCCAGTTACAGAGATAGGACCTGTTACAATTTTATGGGACTACACAATACAAACACACACACAGGACAATCAAAGCTAATCGTCCTGATATTTTTATTAGAGACGACAAATGTGCCTCCTTATTGATATATCAGTCCCTGCAGACTGCAATGTATCTTTGAAGATCTTCAAAAAGCTATCAAAATGCAAGGACCATAAAATCGAAATCTCAAAAATGTGGCACATACGAAACATCAACAGTCACTTTTGTAATTGGAGCCTTCGGATTGGTTGGAAAAAAATCCAGTAGACTAATTGAAGGGATTCCTGAAAGCCCATGTTCTTACAAGTACAGCCCACACCTTACGAAAGGCTTTATCTATGTAAAATATGTATGTG